ACAGAGAAGATAGTGGAAAAATAATTTGAAAAGTTCAAATTTGACCAAATCTACATGTACAACTGAAGCGAACGTCAGCAGTACGGAGATAAATGAGACGTTGATGAACAAAAACAGCATTTATCTTTACCAAAGTTCCAATCAGAAGTTTTACCTGTTGGTAGGTATCTCTCCTCTTTCTAGGACAGAGTAAAGAGTTATTGCTGTATTTTTTTTAACTAAAAGTATTAGTTGTCTTTTCTTCTTTTTAAATGTCGCGGTACTCGTCATTGTTAATTAAGACCCCAGAGGAAAAGTGTGCACAGGAGGAAACATAGATAAAATTATTTCATTAAATTAATTGGTCTTATTTTTAGTGACATTTTATAGCGAATTTTAATTTGAATGTTAAACTGTCCTAGAAAAAAAATGTTTTGAACACCGTATCTGTCTATTTCTTCATAATCTTCATTTTTCAGTATTTGCTTGTCGTAAAGACAGAAATGATACAAAAAAATTGGTATATATTTATGACGTCGACATATTTTTGCTGTTAATGATTTGAAAAAAAATTGCTATAATTAAGAAGTTGTAAAATTTCTACGATGTCCAAAATTCCATTTTCTGCAACCATCCTTATTTTTCTATACAAATTTCTGTCATTTTAAATTAAATTATTTTGAAACTTTGAAAAAAAAAAATTCAATGCGGTTAATATTTTAATCTTAATCATATCATGAATTAAATTTTTGATAAAAGTTTGTATCATCCGTCCTTAAGCTTGACATATTTGGGTACATGTAGGTTGCTAAGGGCTATCAGACACAGTCTGTCTAAATCCACCCATTTATAGATAATTCAGTTAAATGGAATAAGATGAGCGATACTTTGAGAAAAAATGACTTGATATACTGTTGAATTTTAAAAATGGCTTTAAATTTGATTGTTTTTTTTTTAATGGAATTTGTTGGCGTTATAATGGTAAGTCGAATTTATTTTGAAACTCAGAAATGTAATGTGAAGAATGTGTGTCTATCTTGTTGGATATTTTGTTGATAAAGAAGTAAAGAACATTTAAAAAATATCAGGATAAATAAAATGGGACAAGTGAAATTTTTGTAAACAAAATGGGTTTATAATTTGATGAAGGTCTACATATGTTCAATCTACTAGTGTTGGTACACACAATTGTCATGTTAATACGCGCGTCCTTTACTTAGCCCATTTGATTTTTAAAAATTATATTCGAATACTTTCGAATCATAAAAAAACTTTCTGTATAATTTTTTGAATTAACACATCGATACATGTGACAAACACACTCATAAAATGATTAAAACAAACAACATTGTCCAGAGAAATGTCTGTATATTTTATATCAAGCACAAAGATTTCCGGGTTCTAATGTGAAAGAAAAAACGTTTTCAAAGAAAACAAAGAATTCAGGATATACTAGTATTTATTTGTTTAATTGGGGCTACAGGGAATGGGATTGGAATTTTTTTTCATTTTCATGCATTGTGAAAAAAAAACAAAGTACGATCACTTTAGATCATGAGTACTGAGAGTCAAAGCCTAGTGTTGTTAAATCTGTAATTGCTAGAATTAAACATAAAATTCTAGCTAGTGATTCTCATCCAACTATAAAATTTGGCTTAGATTCTATTGAAATAATTGATGATTTATTGTAAATCAATTTGTTCCTCGAAAGTGAATATCAAATAACCCAAATTTCAGAACATTAAAATCCAGAACTCAATTTTTGAAAGCAGAGAACAAACCTGGTGCAGTCAGGCCTATAAGAATTTTTCGTAGTCATGTTAATGTTCTCATATTAAAAAGAACAAAATAAATCAAATAACAAAATTGTGAAAACTGTGTTCTCAAGCAGAGTCATTTTGTCAAGATAATTTTGTAGCCCTCTCTCCCACAACAAACACACATGTACGATTTGAATGCGTTAATTTATGTATACGTAATGTATAATAAGTAAAATTTATTGAGAAGCATCCTCAGGTGGTGTAGATACAAATGTGTTCAAATCATCTGCCTGGTATAGGGCAATGCACTGGAGATCAAATGTCGGGACAACTTTTGTATTTAAACTTTTCAATACTTAATTGATTTCAGCGATGTGGCCTATGGGACTCTTTTTAAAATTCTGTTTACTGGAAATGAATTTAATTACTTGTTCAAAATTTGAAATTCTATAGAATATAAAAAAAGAAAAAAAGAAAATAAGAATCATTTGAATTTTGTGCACCATTCATAGACTTTGTTCATGTACTTCTATCATAGGGCATAAGATGGAGGTAAACAACCCAGCAGGACCGCAGCCACCAAAATGTCTAAGGAGTAAAAACAGAAAACACATAGATGTCTAAAAGATACATTTATAAAGAGACAAGAGAACGGTATAATAATATTCTGATGACGGGTTTAACGTAAAATGGTTAACAATAGTGGTCCTTTTATTCAAGAAATATCAGGGGATGTACTCAACAGTTCATAGTGGAAGGATTGCTAAAAACGTGTAAATGAAAATTCATATCAGATGTCAAATGATACAGATCAAGGCCCAACCACTAGGATTTTTATCACAATGTTACCTACGAACTGGAACAAGGAAACCCACCTCGCAAACAGAATTTGGAACAGTCAGTAATTTGGACCTTGACTCTCGCAAAGCATGTCAAAGTTGTGAAAAGGGATACAAATGTATTTCCATCAATCTTAGGGATAACAAAGACAAAAATGCATAATTTCTACTCTTGCATATTGTGATTGTGTTGGGCTTGCATGTATAATTTTACTTCTATTTGGAATGACTTCATAATCGTTAGGAGACTAACACATGGTCTATTTTTTTTTATTCGTAAAGTGTGTGCGGTGTTCATTATTTAAATTGGTGATGATCCTCACAGCTCATTGCCCCTTTTACATGTGCAGTATTAATTTCTTACGTTTTCAATATATTTATATGAGAATACTAAGTTATTGTATTTTGATTGCTTCACCCACAGATTTCATCAGAGGAGTGTATGAATTGAAATGTTAGCTCAAAATAATTTTTGAGGCTCCTATAACGAAATGGTAAGAGCGTTTGCTCGAGTATCACGCAGCTAAGTGTTAATCCGTACGTCGTGGGTTCGCATCCCACTACAGGACGTGCAGTAGGTGCAGGCACGGAAAATTTTCAAATAGCAAGGGAAGTTTAAGAAACAAAGTATTTTTTCGTTTATAAAAAATGAGTTAAAGAAGTGTTTCATTCAGCTATTTATTAGCGTGCAGATAAAACAGTATATGGAGGCATATGGAGAGTTATTTTTATGTATTGTTTATATAATATTGTGCCTTAATTGGAGAATGTACATTTGTTTTTGAACTTTGACATTGTATTTCATATTTATTTTGATCATGTGTTGATAGGTCCACTTCTTGTTTAATTTCGAATGTATCAACATAAAGTAAAGATGTAGATTTTCGACTTTTCTGGTGAATCCACCAGTTTTTTGTCCTAATGCATAGAAAGGAACTTAGTCATTTGTAAAGGAAAACTACGAATGCTTTTTGATTTTAATGCTTTTGGTGGATCCACCAACCACCCCACCCCCCACTTTTAATAAATACAAAGGCAATTTTGACAGTATGTCATTCAGGTATCCTTGTGTATTCCTGTTTGTATTTTGGTGGATCCACCAAGTATTTGTAAGTGAAATTGAGAATGCTTTCTTATTCGATTTTTTTTTACAGTTTGGTGAGTCCACCAAACTCCTCTCTGTATTTAAGGACAATTTAGTCAAACTTTGGGTTACTTGTAGATTTTTGACTTTTCTGGTGGATCCACCGGTTTTTGCCCTTGTTTATATAAACATATTAAGGAAGTGTCACTAAGTCATTGTAAAGGAAACTTATGAATGCCTTTTGATTTTAATGCTTTTGGTGGATCCACCAAACTCCCCACTACTGATAAATACACGCGTAATGTTTACAGTATATCATTCAAGTATTCTTGTGTATTCCTGTTTGTATTTTTGATGGATCCACCAAATATTTATTAGAGAAAGTATGAATGTCTTGTTAGTTGAATTTTTGCATTTTGGTGAGTCCACCGACTCTGTAGTAAGGACAATTTTAGTTGTTTTTTGTTTGTTTTTTTTTTTTTGTTTTTGTTTTTTGTGTTTTTATTTTTGTTTTTTTTTTTGGTGGCTTCACCACTCATTTTCTTTCAATGGGTTGTTTCAGTGTCTTAAATTTGGTGGATTCACCAAAGTCGTTTTTAAAAGTATCATCATTATTAAAAGTAATATTGAGAATTTCACCAGATCGCTTTTATAAATTTAAGCCAAATTGTCTATTTGTAATTTTGGTGGAATCACCAAATTCTCATGAAGATATTTTAGTTGTTTTTTTGTTAAGTTCATCAATTCTTTGAATTGATTGTAGAATGGTCAAATTCACTCTTGTTTTCTTGGTGGAACCACCAAGATCAATCTTTATTTGAAGATATTTGATAATTCAAATTGGTGTATTTACCAATCCTTTGACTGTTTATATAGAATACCGATACATTATTGATCTGTTTTAACATAAAAATTGGTGATCTCACCAATTCTTAATCTATTCAATCAGGAAAATGAATTAAAAATAATCGTCGATTTCTGAAATTGCACTGTCTTCATTTTTCATTTTAAATATAAAAAAAAGAGGACACGAATAGAAAATCCTCTTTCTTAATGGAAACAGTTAAATATAGTATTTGGGGCTTTTCATTGTATGCAATTTTTTTTTTCGAACAATGCATTGAATCCTTCATATCTCGAAAATTTATAGGAAGAATTACTTTGATGATAATCTTTATCATTTTATATATATATGTATAAATACTGTATAAACTAAAGAAAGTGCGAAAATTACTTGATTACCTAAAATTTTCGCACGTAGAAATATGACGACAAATTAAGGAGGAAAGCTACAACTTTTTCGTAATTAATACATTTTCATGGAAAAAAATACCTCACCTGGTGTCCACACATTTACATTCAATAAAATGAGATATAAGTCCTGTTGAACGAAATGCATCCTTTACCTAAAAATAAGCATTTAGGACTATAATTTAAATACTGTATGTATATACAGGGATATTTCGCCCCCGTTATATTTTCGCCCTACTGACAGGTGGATTAAACGGGGGGATTTAAAGAACACAGTAGAATTTCTTCAACAAAACTGTAATTGGGCTAATTAAAACGGGAAATATTATTTCCAAATTTAAAAGAGCGAAAATAACATGGGACGAAAATAAACCTGTATACAGTAGATCTAAACAATTTTACAACTTTCAACATAAATTTTATTTCTGTTTCTTTAGTTAATTTAAATTATGGTACTTAATTAAAATCTTCCTGAGATACATAGTTTCTTATTAATTTTATTTTTTTAATACATAATAATTGAAGCAAATAAACACTTTGCTATAAACACTGTATTGCTGAATAGTGTTTATTGCAATATTTAAAAGTTGAAAATCAAGTAAAATTCTTTGACATGGTATAAAGTTAACATGAAATCACGCCTAGATATTCTTAGTACCTTCCTACAGAATTCAGCCACCTCAGCTTCCTGTTGCTTCTGGTATATTAGCGTGTCATTGTAATTATCAACACTGAAATTCACATGGAGTCTCACAATATCTGAAGAGAGAAAATAAAGGTACCGATTTAGGAACGACTTTACCGGTCCCCAGAAAAACGCGCTAAAATATAGTGTCGACGTAGGCGACTTCAGTATAATATGAGATCGCGTGAGCGATCGAAAAAAAATAAAAACTATGAGATTTCAAGCCTTTTTGACCCTAAAATCGAATTCTACGGTAAAAAGTTTAGTTTAAAACTTCGTTTTTAAACTAAGTTTTTAACCTCGTTCTCTGAAAAAAGTAATAAATATTGTTTATTCAGTGAAAAGGAGACAAAAAATAATTGTCAACGAAGCGCGTGCGGCGCATGCTTAGTGCCGTTTCTTTCGTACCTAGTCATTTTTTCCTAATATCTTGGATGGTATGCGAGGACTAACCCAAATCTCACAGGCGGAGACATATGGCTATGCTGACTAACCCATGTGCGAGGACTAACCCTAATCTCTCGGATAGATGCGAGACTAACCCTAATCAAGCGAATACTTGTGCAAGGACTAACCCTATTCTTTCAGGTGGGTGCAAGACTAACCATAATCAGTCGAAAAATGTGCAAAACTAACCCTAATCAGTTGAGTGACGTAAATCTTACGTCATAGTGCAATGAGCGCGCGGATCTTGCGGATCTGGGGACCGGTAAAGTAAAGTCTACCCGAAATTTACCCCGTGCAGTAATTTTCTAAAGCGCCTATATACAATATTCATAATTGGACTTGGTCAAAATAAATGACTCAAACTCTGGTCCTAAGTAATCTTTCAGTGAAAATGAACATTCAATTTATGGACCCGCGTTTTTTTTTTTTTAAACTATATGATTTCAGTAGGTTGAATCTAAATCCAAAGAAATGATGCTGATGTATGTTAAAAATGAATAACTATACACTTTGAAGCAATTGATTGATAGATTGATTGATTGTATGTTGTTTAACGTCCTTCTCGAGAATTTTTCACTCATATGGATACGCCACCATTACCGGTGGAGAGCTGCAAATTTTGTCCTATACTCGGCACTTACGGCCATTGAGCACTGAGGGATCTTTTTCGTGCCAGCACCTATTGCGACCTCGGTTTATATGGTCTCATCCGAAGGACCGGTCTCCACGTCCCACAGTGGGAATCGAACCCGCGACGTAAGGATCAACTCCTTACTTCGCGACTCTAGAGCAGACACTAAAACCACTGCGCCACGCGGGCGACTTGTAGTCATTGAAAAGAAAAGAATGTTGTAACAAATTTCCTTATAAAACATTCATTTTAAATTCTATGGAATGGTAAATGTTGCAGAATGATGAGTTGAATGTATATGTATTTTTTATGAAAATATAGGTCTTGTTGTTCAGATGATTCGCATTTACTGTTTCTAAATAAACTTCAACCCCTCTGGGGCCTCATTCTTGACACGTGATGATTATTGCATAACTCGTTAGTTTTGTGGTATATATTATTATGCCAAATCTGACCTTTGTTCTAACTGAATGTCCCTATTTCACATAACTGTCTTACAGGCCATACTTATCGTATATTCAAATACTCAAAAAATGCACTGCATGATAATGCAATCACATTAATTTGAGGTTTTTGGAGTACTGTGGACTCTGTATTTTAGAGAACAATATTTTGGGGTCATCTCCACGCACTGATCACGAGGTTCACGGTTGTTGTAATGGGCATTTATATTTATACAATATTTATTCAATTTTATATACATAATATCAAGTTATCTAACGATGAATAATATCATAAATTCAGTAAACAAAACAAATCATGAACAGGGCAAACACACGGACCCCTGGAAACACAAGAAATGTGATCATGTGCCTCTCTACTGCTCCCGACCCCCTGAGCCTTATGTTGGAAAGTTTTCCTGTGTTTATGTCCAGCATTACTGCTTCAGTTGAATGTAAGACTAATTTCCACTATTTTCCATTCACTTTCTTTAGTCTTCATGTATGTCCCTTCTATCACATATGTATACAGCATTTAAACACATCATATAACAAAATACCCAGCATTTGTTTACCTCCATTTAACTAACCTCGGTGGTGGACATAGCTTAGTGTTACACCAACAGCTGCAGCAATGAAAGTAATCAGAATGATTAGAACTAAAAACAGCACTGCCATTTTGCCTCGTTTTGATGTATCCTTATTGAGGAATCCTCTGTCCTTTTCTGGCCCTAAAGACGACACATCTGAAGGGCTTCCAATCTCACCGAAAGTACTTCCCATTCCCAGGGAATTAGTGTCGATTGATCTAAAATTACTGTCGGTTCCACAACAGTTTTTTCTATTACACGTCAAGGATACCCAGGTAGGGTCTTCTAAATAAGGTACAAACTGAAAGAAGACATACACGTATATGCCAAGGTATAATATTAACCAATACATCCAGTATATAAGGATACATCCAATAGGGATAAGAATTTTTTTTCTAAAGGTTAACTTTTTTTATGAGCTGGAATATCCGCCTATCATTTTTTTTTCTCAGATTATTAGAAAATTAATTTTTCCTAGCCGACAATATAAATAGTACGCAGTTCAAATATAATAAAATAATATCTTATTGGCAACTCAAGGTTGACTAACTCGTACCTGCTAAATGGAAAACGTCAACTTGAATCCACGTGATGTTAATATATTAAATATATTATTTTAGGATGTAATGATTATTGACCAGCAGGAAGCAGTCCTCCTAGCTCACCTGAGCCAAAGGCTCAAGTTAGCTTCTTCACCAGAACCATTAGGCCAATTTCAACCAAACTGGCCACGATGCATCCTTAGGTAAGGGGGATTTAAGTTTGTTCACATGAATATTTCAAGGCAAGATAATTAAGAATTAGTGCAAAATATATGACAGTTTTTAAAAATCATCATCTCGAAAACCACTGGGCCAGAAAAAGATAAAACTTGTTTGAAAGATTCAATACTGAGTTTGAAAGATTCAATACTGAGCTTGCTTCTTCTTTTCTCTAGACAAAGTTCTCAGGTAAGCCATGTGGCCTTGGGCTTTTTTGTACGGTTAACAAACGTGTGTCAATACAATTTCAGCGTATGAAGCATTTTATTCTTAATTTCTACAGACATTGCATCAACGGTTTACAAAAATTTTACAGATTGGTTCTTACAGTAAGAATTAAATATTTAAATATAAATTAATCAAATAATTATGGATAATAAACATATAGACTGACGAAGTTGATTTTCTTTATTTGATGTAAATGCAGTTCAAGGTCTTCTTGTAAAGGTGTTCCATACTGTCGAATCTGTGCACGTTTTTTTTTTTCATTTCATTTCATTTATTTTTTCTTGGTAAAGTATTGTAGTGGATGCGTGCAGTTCTAGCCGGTGAGTGTGTTCGAATAATTTGTATACTTACTTCTTATACATTTCAGTTGTAACTTTGATAATTTTATTATTAAAATAATCTCTTTCAGTAAATAAGGTGTCGAGCGATTATTCTGACCATTGTTCTGTATGTCATACATAAAAATCGATGTTTTGGTAGGAAGGATTGAATGATTGATTGTTGTTTAACGTCCCTCTCGGGAATTTTTCACTCATATGGAGACGCCACCACTTGCCGGTGGAGAGCTGCAAATTTTGTCCTATACTCGGCACTTACGGCCATTGAGCAGTGAGGGATCTTTTCCCTACCAGCTCCTGCTGCGACACGGGACTTCGGTTTATACGGTCTCATCCGAAGGACCAGTCTCCACGTCCCACAGTGGGATTCGAACCCGCGACGTAAGGATCTACTCCTTACGCCGCGACTCTAGAGCAGACGCTCTAACCACTGCGCCACTGATAGGAGGGATGGAGTGAGAGGCGATATTACTGGGGCTGCGATTTAGGAAGTACAGCATGATCATGATGGTACATCGCTGGGCTTGGACATTCCTGGATTAGTGTCATGTGCCGTGGTAGAATGAGATGACGGGATTTCGGAGCACCTGCACTTTACAGCAGTAATTATGAAAAGTATCTTTCAGTGATATTAAATAGCTGTTACTTTTATAAAAGTTTGATTGATTGATTGTGTGTTGTTTAACGTCCCATTTTTCACTCATATAGAGACGTCACCGTATACCGTTGAAGGGCTTTAAAATTTGACCTTTACTCGGCACTCAGGGCCATTGAGCTGTGAGGAACGCCTGCCGTGACACGGGGCCTCGGTTTTTAAGGTCTCATCCGAAGGACCTGCAACTTTCACTTCAAAGTGCCGAGTGCATGGCGAAGGAACAGTTGCTACCCATTTTTTTATCGACTTAGGTCAGTTGTGGCCTCACAACCTTCCGATCATGGAGCGAGCGCTCTACCGACGGAGCTACCGTGAACGGTCTTTTATGAAAGAAAACATTCATAATAATATATTTATTATTATTTATTAAGTTCTACCATGCTTTTTGTATTTTCTCTTAAAAGAACTTGCATGGTTGACATCTTTGTTGGTTTTAATATCTGACGCGAGTTGAATCATTGCTGTTACAGAACTTACAACAATAATTATGTAAAGTATTAGAGTCTGTTAAATAACTGAATAAACAGTTCACAGCTTTGTTTGTCTTATTGTGAGATTGTATGAAAAATTGATTAGGTGAGGAAGAAGTCCTTATTTTTAAATTTTGTTTGTTTTTTTTGTTGTTGTTTTTTTTAAATTCTGCAGATATTTTTTTCCTTATCAACTGTACATAATTCAAACAAAACCCATGACACAGACCTTATCTATTTTTTTTTTTTTTTTACACTTAACTTTTTTTAATAATAAAATTTAAAGTTCGTCAGATGAGACGTTTAAACGTTCACTGTTTTATGAATTACAACTCCGTTATCAAATATTAGTGAAATATCTTTGCGCGTCAATGATTACAACTCTCTTGATCGAGTAAGGTATTTGATTAGGTTATGAGTTATGACTCGTTCGTGGCTGCGAGGGTAACTAAAGACCCTATAAACTGGTCACAAGTGACAATTTTAATCGCCTAAAATTGCTTAAATACTTCCGATTATTAGTATGCTCTATATATCAAGATGCAAAGACAGAATAAAAATGAAGTGAACGCAGAGAACGGTACGAGGTGAGGTTCCCAGCGGGTCAAGGGCGAAGCCTTGGTGGGGATCCAGGGGGCGAGGCCCTCGGAATCTCTTGGGTTTTTACTAAGTATTTCAATTATCTTCATGGGAAAAATTACACTATTTCGCTTTTCTTTACAAAATAAAAGATGCAGTAATATTGTTTTAACGCAAAATGAATACTTCCGTGGAGACTTATTGCATATGTAATTGAGGCTGAAAATTTTAAAACATGTACATGTTTATATGTTGGTATCATCTACTCTTTTTTAACACTCAACAACAAGTATAATAAACGTTGTTAACACAACGTATTTTAAATCATACAGTATTGTATCAAAGCATTCTACGATGCGATTGGAAGGAGATGGATGAACAAGGTGTGCAGAATGCCTTAAATTTCAGATATGTAAAAATAATGTCCAGTTTGTGAATTAAGAGTCATTCTCTGTAAGGACCTTGGATGCCGTTCATACGAATATCACGGGTTTTAATAAAACATATATGAAAAAATTATGAATGTGTATGAGATTAATTATGTATATTAAAAAATTTGGGATGTGACCTATCTCTAGGTTATGGCCCCTAACACATTTTGTGGCTACCCCCATGTTTGAAATGACCAGTTTTCTCGTAATTTATCATCAAATATTCAAAATAAATAATGCACTATGGTTGGATTAAGTGCATTTAATTGTGAAAACAAGGTGTGAAGTAAAGATAAAAAATTATTTTGATTTATCATTAACACCCTTTTTTATTTTAAAGAAATTTAAATTTCCTCACCTTTTTAACCCTTAACCAATAGGCTAAATAACCATAATTTCAGTGCCATTTTATGAAAAATCCCAAGATAGGTTTATAAAATATTAACAATATTTTGAAAGCAAACATACTTGATTATTTATTTATAATTATTTTGGGTGTGTGTTTTTTGATTTAAAAAAATAAAATGCATTTGAAAAATGAGAAAAAAAACTGGCATTTCACCTAATATTATCTCCCTTTGTAAAACTCTCTAGTTCCAACAGTGAAAGGAGGTAAAAACAACACTATATTTACTCCCCGTCGAGGCCTCATCTACAGAGAGCAAACGAACTCTGGCGGAAGTTTGTAAGCATGACGTCTGGAGTTCCTTTTTACAAACCATGTGTTTTATTGATATTTTTATACAAAAGTGCCTAGATTATATAGTTCAGCTTCCTTAGAAGATGTGATAATGCTTGTTCTGAAGACATTCAACACTTCGTGAATTTAAACATTGACCAGTTTCGTATCAGTTTGTCTTACGTAGGTCATATGCCATGGGTTGCACTTGCTAAATACAGTGAATGACTATCGAATGTGCACGAGTTATTTTGACTTTTCTTTAAAATTAAATACAAAGAAGTCAAGAAGGAAGCTATGTCAAATTCCAAGTCTTCTTAGCTCCAACTTACTTATTGAAAACCGAAGAGAAGAATTCCCTTCCAAGTAGAACACGTGAAATGTGAAAGCAGGGGTTTGAAGAAGTGTGAAATCCTTCATTTTATTGGTCAAGCTGGTGCAACGCTACCATTTATACGTAAGTAACTAAATGTTCTTATATACGATGTTATATTTATTCGTAGAGTAGATGATCATGCTAATCAAATGTATCCTTTAAGAGTTTCTCCAATTATTGTTTATTTAGACCTGTCAACATACAAAACTAAATAAAAAAAAATATGTCAAATGTGTGGTTGAATGGCTAACAACACATTCCTATATAATTATTATACGCCCGTCTTAAGACGGGACATATTGTTATAGGCTTCATGTCCATCCGTCTGTCCGTCTGTTAGCTTTTTTTTTCTGGCTCATAACTTTAATACTATTAGGCCTAGGATTATCAAACATTGTCATCTAATGCATCTTGGGTAGAAGGTGTGTTGCGCATAAAAAGTAGGTCGCTCAGATCTTTAATTAAGAAGTTATAAGCAAATATGGAAAAATCCTTTCCGGCCTATAACTAGAAAACTACAAGACTTACAATCATCAAACTTGGAGAGTTTATGCATCTTAGGTATAAGGTGTGTCACGACCTATTTCAAGGTCACTGTGACCTTTAATTTAAGTGAAATTAAAAAAAATGTGTCTTTTTACTATTCATTTACACATCCCAAATAATGTAAGAGCATTGCACTGTCCTTATTAAAAAAGTGTTAAATCAAGAAAATACTTATTTTTTTAAGCATATACTTGACAGCAATCTATAACAAATATAATGTATGTTAGAGAAATCCTACCTCTTCCATGAGTGTAATTATCAAGCACTGGTCAAGAAGATTTTTGATAACAGAAATTTGCATGTCAAATTAGAGAGAAATTAATGAGTTTAGTGTGAGGAGCTAACTGGTAGAGCATCTCTGATCAAGCAGGTGTTATCTATATCCCTTGGGTATTGGGCAAATGGGTTAAAGCCTGTTGGATTAAAAAAATAGCTCTTGTTTGCTAGCCTAAGTTTTAAAATGAATTTGATGAAAAGTAATTAAAACTAATTTGATATTGCATAATAGACTAATCTGATATTATATAATATTATTAATTTAAAAACTAATTTTATGGGGTGGGGTGGAATCAGCATGTCCATATGAATTACATATTAAAACCTGTCGGACATTATATCTCAACAAAAAAAAATCTTTGAGTATTTTATAAATTATATGTTTTAAAAAAATTTTGTGGTAGATAGTGCAGACCCATTCATCTCTTGGTAGTAATGAGTAGACAAGCATCCAGTTACTTTTAGATTAATTAATGAGTTCAATGTAGGAAGGCTAGCTGTCTCAATCATTTCTTTAGAGCATCTCTGATCAAGCAGTCTTATCTGTATCCTTTGGGGATTAGACAGAACTGCTGGTCAGCTTAAAGCATATTTGATTTGATGGCCTGCCTTTTATTTTCAAAATTAATTTGGTATAGATTAAGGTGTTAAGACTAATTTGATATTGTTTAATATGATGGGCATTTGACAAGGTCTAACACAACCAGCATAGAAATCTATCAATGATGTAATATTTATTATGAGGCCAAACAAAAAAATATGTGTGGTTCCGGTTACACTTCCAAAAAAATTAGGGTAGGTAGGTAGGGATTTTTTTTTTTTTTTTTTTTTTTTTTTTTAACAAAATGATTTTCTTAATTTTTTCTAAATAATACCTATCACTGCTTTGCAAATGGCATTTAGATGTGGTGTGATAATATACTAGTCAATATTGGTAGGGGACACCAACATGCTAGCTTGCTTTGGATTTAACAGTGACCACTATTAAACACTTGCACTATGTTTTGCAAGGGGGCCGTCATTGCTGAAACTAAAACTTAAACTGGATCCATTGATGGAAATCGGGGGAAATTCCGGAAAAAATATGAAAATTGCCCAAAAAAAAGTTTAGGGTCGGGGGTATAAAATAGGGAAGGTCGGGTAACCGGAACCACACATATTTTTTTATTAGGCCTAATTAATGCCTACATCACGGGGATGGATAAATACTTTAAGGAATGGAAAAATCATGGAAATCTTAGAATCAAGGTTGACATGATTTTCTTGCACTAACTGTTCAAGAAAATTGTAATTTTTTGACGGGCGTATCATGCTGTGGCGCGGCACTTTAATTGTGCTTTAAAGCCAGTAAGGAATTGAATTGTTCTAATAAAAATATATAATTTATTGTAGCATGCTGCTGCATGCACCATGTGTGGAAGAAGAAAGAGCCTTCAAGAGGAAGATATTTAGATCATTCATGGAGTGTTCTGAAAACATCAAACAAGGAGGTAAGTTTTAAAACAAAATTATAAAGAGGTACAGTGTATAGCGTCTTTTCCCAATAATTTGCCTATTAAATCATGTTTTAATGGAAAGTACCTGTTACTATAAATAGATTTCTTCACACAGTTAAGAAATGGAGTTATTGAAATAAATTTTACATTTATATCATTTAAAATACTTATCCCTAAAATATTACCTCGACATTTACAATTTCACACTACTATCAATTTTACAAAATATCAATTTTTTACTTGCCTGTGAAAATGCAAATGAGCTACATATTTGTAATGATTCAGATTGAATTTCAGATTATTGAAGATATCCTTCCTACAAAGGTGTTAAAATTAGCAAGACTCGGAGTTCCTGTGAACGTGTTGAAACTAGCATGAAATGCCTTTCTCAGGTTAGTAAAGTAGAGTACATATATTTTTTAGCTCACCTTAGCCAAACCTGAGCCAAAGGCTCAAATAAGATCAAGGGGAGATAAAATACAATTCGTAAAAATTTGGAGGGATCCTAAGACCCACTGGGCCTGAAAAAAAACCCAGCACATATAGGACTTCTTTCTTGTCCACCACTTTCACATAATCTCATTTGTCTGTCAGTCTGTCACAGAAACAAAACTTTTGATTGAGTGAAGATACAGCTTTTATATTTCACAGATACATTCACTATGAAAGGTCTCTCTAATGTCCATGAACTATAATTTTGACTATAATTCTGGCCTTGACTTCTATGTCTTTCAAGAATTAAACATTGGTAATAACATTTGAAGGATAGAAGAAAGATACAGCATAAAGTTATCTAAAATTTTGACCCACTTTTCATAACTTTTATCAAAACATAATTACTGTTTAGTGAGAGATTGTTAGGAGTGATCTGCCCTTAGATTTAAATTTCAATAAATAGAAATTTACAGTATATTACTCAATTTATAATCAAGTCAAGTATTCTTGACATTTTAAAAGAACAAGATAAATTAATTGAAGATGTTATTTACATGCATCTTCTCCTTGGAAGTAAATAGCTATGATTTCTGTTCACTGATACTGTATTGTGTTTGAACATTTTTCCTCGGGGTAAATGCCATGTACCATATATTGAATAGATAAACTTATTATTTACACCTTTATTCAATATAATTTTCTCAAAATCCAAAAAAAAACAAAAACATTTTGCACTTGTGTAGAGAGGATGTATGTATGCTCTGTTATTGTACATGTAATAGTTTTCATGTTCCATTTGGTTCCATTAGTCATTGTTTAATATAAACTAAAGTCTTGTATTATCTAAATCTAAATACTTATATTGTTTATTACAGAACCAAAGCCAGAGTTTTACATTTAGTCATGACATTCAGCAAACGAATGGGTATCTCAAGAAAATTAGAGAGAGTTTTCAGAAGATGAGGGATACCAGTGGGACTCCTACACTAAGTCAGCTAAATCATACTACATGTACAACAATATAACGACCAAATTGACTGCTGTTATTTTCCCAAAGAACATCAAAGAAATAGTGAAGAGTCTTATAGTATGTGAAGAAAATTCAAGTCTTGCCCAGTATTATACCTGAGGGAAGTTTTGACCACTTATCCTAAAGTGATCCATGGCCATGCATATCAAACTTCAGAAACATGACTCCACTCTGCACTACTTCCAATATGCTTCAAATCATTTTTTAAAAGTTTATAATAATGTACATTCTTAAATAAAATATGCATGTAATAAGTGTATAAAACTAATAAAAGTAATCTCATTGAATGTACAATTTCATCCTTTGTCACACATTATCAGTTGCAATTGTTGAATTTTATATAACTGACAGAAAAATTAAAGAAATCTATGTCAAAACTGACTATTATTATAGAGCTACAGCTTTAGGTCTATGATAAGAGTGAAAAACCACAAATTAAGTATTGTACACCTATGATTATTGTGTAATAATTCATCTTCATTTAAGTATGTCAGTGATCTACTTTTCCTGCTAGTGGCTCCTGAGTATTTCACAGAAAATATCTCAATTAATCACACTATGACCAATATTTGCCCCCCTCCCCCCCCCCCCCCCCATTAATTTTGCCGATACATGGAATACTCTAAAAACATAGATACTGTATGCTTTTGTCCCCTCAGTAAATGACCATTTGACCTTTTTTTTCTTGAAGAATTTTTGGGTAATTTTCACTGAGAATGTATGGCTGTACCCCCCCCCCCCCCTTCCCAACCACTGAAATTGCTTCCTACAGGCCTGTAATCAATTTGAAAACCTGAATGATAAGAACTCTAATTATTTATAGCCTCATTTTACTTTTCTTGTCCACATTCTACTGGTATTAAAATTATATGAGCTCAATAATCTAATTATTGAGACATGTTGACTGTGAATGGTTTGTGTTCATGTATATTTTTGAAATTCTTCATTGCATGTCATTCAATTACTAATATTTGAAAAAAAAAACCGAGAGCTTTAATATACATAATAATTGCAAAATGGTGTTTTAAAACACATAGAAAATTTACTTCATGAATGACATATTCCAAGAAATAAAAGTATTGATACAAAAAAAGTAAAAAAAAAAAATAGCTCGAATTTCCTCTGCTCATCACATCTTTCATATTTTCTTCAAAAAATAAATATCATCTAATTTTAAAATTGATTTATCACTTGGTTATTTTCTCCATTTTGACCATTTTTGATTAAACATTTTGTACTTCAGAGCATTCCGTGTCTGTAATCTGAAATCCTGATTAAATGTCATCCTTCAATTCCTGAAAATATGAATAAGCATACTATTCTTCAGTTTACTTTGAATCTTGACCTTAGCTTTACGTTTTGATAGAATCAATAAGTTAACTGTTCATCGACTCTTTTTGTTTTTAAGCTAAATTTGTAACAAATACGTTTGTTGATACCTGAAGAAGATAGAATTTGAGTCATTGAACATGGTATTAACCCCCCCCCCCCTCGTCTTTTTCTCATAAAAAGGGGGGGGGTTCAAATTGAAATAGCTGCGTTTCACTTTTATATCTTCACTACCTACATTTCATTTTAAAAATGGATAAGTAGCATGATTGATATACACTTCAGTGTTGTTAAAATTCAGCCACAAATGTGATTTTGTACCGATAAAAAAAGTGAAATGAAAAATATATTCCAATGAATGGTTGCCATGGTAACCCCTTCTATGTTGCTATCCTCTCCTAAAATGATACATTTTTATTCATTTCTATCATTAAATTCTATCTGAAGATTGTTTTACATAAAAATGTCCTCAAAAGAGAAAAACAAACTCTACAAAAATATACCATCTTCAATGTATAACAGAGTTTTCCCAATCTGTATTTGAGGAAATTCGGGATTAGGGTACATTTTCATTTTGATATTTCTCTAAATGAAATGACAAACCATAGTATAGATATTCTGAATAAACAAGAAGTTTTAAAAACCTATCTTGGAATTTAAAGATAAATATAATTGAAATAGAGGGTAAAATGGGTTTTTCTGCATTTTGAAAAAAGCACGAAATTTGATATTTTTAGCCTCCTATCAGCTTGAAACACTTCAGACTAAAGATTTAAATCCTAATTATTTTAATTATATAAGAATTCTTAAAATAAATTATATAATTGAAAGTGTTCATATTTTTCGTGTTTAAAGAAAATATGGGGGTTAAAAATGATATATGTCACGAAATAGAACCTGTCAAAATGACCATATTTCCATTAGTTCCGGTTGCCATGGCAACGGACACCCCGAAACATAAACTAAGGTGGTTTTCTCAGTTAGACACCTGAGTACACTCTATAAACCAAAAATTATGTATTTCGGTGACATTCGTTTTAACGGCCCCCTTGGATTCTTTGTTTTTTACAGAGAATGACTCTTAAGTATTTAGAGTAAAGTTCTCAATATTGAAATTTACGAAATTCTGATTAACAAAACGTTTCTGAGGAATTTTCTCATCAAATATTATTCTGTTATTAAAATGATGTGGTTATCCTAGGGGTACAAAACTAGCCATAAAAACCCTGAGTATCTACAACCTTTGAGTCTTGCACGCTTACCACTTCGCTACACAGCTCTTGATGAATAGTGGCATTTAAATTATATTTTTGATATGATCCTTGACTAAATGGACTGCAAGTATTTCTCGGAAAGATGCGATTGTTGTGTCAAAAAAGTGTAATTTTGAGGCATAGTGGGTCTTAGCTCCATGTTTTTGTTAACAAAAAAAAATGTTTATTTCTACGCATACATTGAGGATAAACTTCCAAAAAAATTGAGTGAAGACCCACTCTGGCCACTCATATCGAAAAATTCTGTAAAGGTATGAGAAAATGATATTTTTGCCCTATTTAGTGTGTGTATGCTATTAAATAGGGTAAAAAAAAAGGGGATCAAGGGCCGGAGCGCCAGGCGTCCCCACCCCCCGTTTTAATTTTTTGTATGTAGAACTTATATGTCCATTATCCTAAATCAAGCAAAAAAATCTCTTATTTGTAAGAATTTGTCACCTCCGGGGGCCGGACTCCCACCAGGGCCTTGCCTTTGACCAACTAGGGGCTTCAATGCAACCCCCTCACCCTTGCCTTTTATTGTGCCCCCCCCCTCCTCCCCCGTTACAAATTTCGTGGATCCGCCATTGATTAATTTCAATCTTTGTGAGATTTTTTGCAAATTGTGGAGATTTCACATAACGTTTACTATGAGGTAATATAAAATATTAAGGACAGTTTTATTGTAATTGAGATTTTTAAAGAGCCATTCTCTGTAATGACTTGAAATTTTATATAGGAGCTGTGGCACGCATAGTCTCAGAATTTCTCCAAACTCTCTATGATAAAAGTCTTTGAAACCGTAAACTCAAATTAGGCAAAAATTAGTTGCTACGTGTCATGGTTACCATAGCAACATGTCCTAAAGTTTGAAAAAAAAGCTCTTTTCAACATCTTCAGAGTCCAGCAGTTAACGTTTGCAGCAAAGCAAACAAGTGGCAATGACTGTCTCTGAACGTTGAAGGCCTAGTGTCTTAAATGCATGATAAACATGTTTGGTAAATCATTTATAACATACGTTACTATGGAAACAAAGTATTCAAAAGTAATAATTTTGTTCATTTAATTTTATAAAGTCATACACTTTAGAATAAAACAATTATAGGTTGAAATGCAAGCAAATAATAGAGAAAAGATCCTTGTAACATAAACCAAGGACAAAATATGATATTTCGTATAGGTTGGCAATGGTTGCCATGGTTTTAATACCACAAAGGATTTTAAATTTACTCTCTTAGTGTTTTAATCTTACCCTATCTTTTTAAAAAGCATATTTCTGTATAACTGATGATCAATATTTTTAAAGGCCTAGGTGTGACCCTAATTTTCACATTTCCAAAAATTTGAAATTCAATTCTTTAAATAGTGCGTTGCTATGGAAATAAGGCGAAAAAACATGCATAAAAATCTGAAAAATACTCTGTTTCCTTGGATACGTACCGTTGTATGTAGATTCCCAAAACTTTAATGATTGATATACGTGAACAACTAACATGACTTTCAATTTTGACTATCACCCAATCTCTAACTGGATGCAAAAAGCTGGCACATAGGGTCTAATATTGACAAAAAATTAGCAAAATCGAACATTTTCTCTTCTTGGTAACCATAGCAACAGTGTTGTATTTTTCAACATCCTTTATCAATATATGATATTCAACTTTAGTTCTACGAGATAAGTACTATTCAAGGTGATTCAAATAATATTTTTCTTGATTAAAAGGTTAGTAAATTCCTAAAGCAGCAAAAAAAAAAATATCACTTTAAACAACTAGTACGTTGTTTCCATGGTTACACTGCAAAGTAACAATTAATCTCAATTTTTCTTATGTTGTCGGTGTTGCAAGGTCCTAAGGATGCATATGTGCCAGTCATGAATTTTATTGTTTTTCCTCACGATAGTAGCATTAACCCAATCATAGCAGCATATTTTGCATGGTGACACTGTGTTACCATGGCAACCATGAATGTTATTTTTAGAATAATATTGCCAATACTTAATTACATGAGGTCAAATATTTTTCATTGTTTTTCTTACGTTGTTGATTGAGTTTGATCATGTAACATCTATCACTTGTGACTGTAGAGCGTTTTTCAGCATTTTTCAGCATCTACAATGTATTCCAAATATACCCATGGTTACCACTTACTTAGAGATAAATTTTACATAGTTTCTTTATAGCATAAGTGGCAACAAGGTGTCATGTTTTTGGGAGAATGGTTTGTTTGTTTTTCTTAGTCTTTATTAAGGCTTAATAAAGATTTAAAGTAGCTGAAAATCTCAATTTTTTCAACTTTTCTGGCTGTTACCATGGCAACCAAGACACATAGCAACGAAATTTTATTTGATGTATGTTTCTGGTGTCAAGATGTAATAATGGGCAAAGTTTCATCAAAATTGGTGACCATGCGTGGCAAAGAAGTTTAAGTGGTTATAGAGAATCGCTGTTAATTCTTCACTTTAATGTTTGTAGCACTAAGGCACTTCGCTCGCCTTGATTGCCAATATTCTTTATTTCTCAAAGATCTTTTAGAAAATTATCAGTGTGTTACAGAACATTGGTAACTAATCTATTTGCGATATATCTACGAAAATATTTCAAATTTTATTATTGTAAAAAGATCTGAATCGAAACAATATGAAACAAAATAATTTTAAACACAAAATTTTTTTATGATAGATTTCTTTATCCAAAAATACTCTCCTTTTTTTTTTTTAAATAATTTTTTATGCCCCCTTTATCGCAAATTCGGGGTATATAGTTTTTTCCCTTCCGTTTGTCTGTTTATCTGTTTGCCCGCAAAAACTTAAACATTGCCCATAACGTTTGATTGGTAAGAGCAATGGCTTTCATATTTCACCCGTGTATTTGATGTGACAAGATATGACAAGACCTTCCTTTGGGTACTAACAAATTTGACCTCTTGGCCGTAGAGTTTGACCAACTTTAACCTTGGCCATAACTTTTGAACAGTTGGTGCTAGGGCTTACATATCTCATATGTAGTGTAAATATTTTTGACCTTGACCTTATAGTTTGACCCACTTTTAAAAAAACTTTACCTTGGCTATAACTGAACAGTTAGTACAAGGGCTTTCATATTTCAAATGTATATTCCTTGTAACAAGACCTTCCTTTGGATACCAACAATTTTGACCGTGACCGTGGAGTTTGACCTACTTTTGAAAAACTTTAACCTTTGCCATAACTTTTGATCAGTTATTGTTAAGACTTCCATATTTTTTGCATGTGTAGTTCTTATAACAAGTTCTTCCCCTACGTACCATAAATTTTGACCTTCACCTTGTAGTTCGACCTACTTTTAGAAAACATTTTTAACCATAACTTTTGAATGTTGGTGCTTTGGCTTTCATATTTACCAGGTATATCTATTGACATAAGTCTTTTCTCTGGGTAACAATTTTTTCTATCACTTGACCTTGACCTTGGAGTTTGACTTGCATTTGAGAAATTTTAACCTTCGCCATAAGCTGCCATACGGGGGCATTGTTTCAAAAACACATCTTGTTATTTTGGGGTTCGGAAAATGACGTGTACGCATTTGCGTACAGGCCGGTACGGAAAATGACGTGTACGCATTTGCGTACAAGCCGATACGCGCCTGAATTATCAAATTTAAAAGTAGATATTAAATGACATGTAAACATGTTTCATAGGGCTGCGCAATAATATCGATATTCAGGTATATTGCGATTTATTAACGTAAAAAATATCATATTTCGATACGTTCTTCCAGTACCGATATACCGGGAAAATACTTGGGCTTTAGATTTCTAAATATGAAATTTAAAATGTCAGAAACGTTTTCAATCGTGACAAACAATACCAAACAGTAAAGGTTTTAGTTGTTATGTTGCATTTCGTTACCAAACTATAATGAAATCAACTAGATGTTTTTTATATAACGTACATGTATTTATAAAAGTTTTATAAACTCTGCTTATAAATGGAGGTTAATAAAAGAAGAAAAGAGCATTTTATCTGTTATTAAAATATTGCAACACATATCGCAATAAGGTTCCAAAGATCGCAATATACCGCAACACAACCAATACCCAGCCCTAATATTTCAGTTATTATCATTACTAAAAGCGCGATCAGGTTAACGTTACCCTTTCTCTTTAATGAACAAATTTAATACTCTGGTATTGTTTGTATTTTCATCAAACCTTACCTTAGAACTTTCAAACCGTGGCCGATTTTTATACACATATATTCCATTTCTTGTAAATTCACTTAAGTTTTGTTCCATCTTGTCTCAGTACTTTCATGTATCGGTATAAATTCTTGCGCTAAAATTACATTTCACCTTGACGGCTAATGTAAAATGCCTTATTTTTTTAATATGTTGAAGAAATTGTTGTTGTATATTTCTAAACATCCACTTATTTACAGGAAGTCATAGTGCGACTGGCAGTGACATTTGTAAATATCACATTATGAACAAAAATGAAAATCCGTAATTCACTCTTTCTTTCCGTACGTTTTTTCTACTCAGAAATGCAACCAGTCCGTACGTTTAAAGAATAAATTGAATATCGCGTTTATTTGTAAATCGTAAACTAACGTAATTGTCAATTTACATCCCTAACTCTCACATTATTTTTTTCAAATATGCCACAATTATTTATAGTCATTAAGGTCATGTGGTCATTTTTCTCCTCCAAAGGAAAAACATCCGCACAATGTATTTGTAATGAACATTAAAACTTATTTGTAAATATAAACGCAGTATCATAAGAGTGCAAACTTTTTCCATGACTTAAATGAAGAAATTATCAAACAAGTATGTTCATTAATTTTATTTCTGTCCTATGTCACTTTAGTCGTACAATAATAAAATCTGACCTCGTGACACACCAGGTGACGACAGCGTTTGAATGTTTTACTTACTGTCAAAACAAGCCCTTTATTCGTACAAATTAAAATGAATCGTATTTCACGCTACTGAAGATTGCTTTCCATATTAATTATGCAAGAAATTATCTGAGAAGAGATTGTGAAAAAGGAGAAAGCGCATCAAGAACTGTATATAGGTAGATACTATCAAGGTAAAATTTTCCACGATTCACATCTGTTGAAAATAAAGAAGAAGCAGTTCTGAAATCACTTTCATTCATTTTATTATTTTTATTAATTTATTTAATGCTTTTAGATCTAAAAAAAGTTTTATACATTTTGTTAGTTAAATATTTTTCTGGTAATTAACAAGCAGACCTCTTTCGTAATATATTTTCATCGTGGGATTGTTCTGCAAGATAAAAACCCTGATTTAATTTCTAATAATGTTGAATATATGATGCACCTAATTGTACATGGAATCTTTTTTGTGGAATTATTAACCGCATTCTAAATGTAAATTGTCATATTTCTACACCATTTATCATCAGAGTGTACGTCTCTTCAACACACAGTGCTAATGTTAAAATGGCTGTGGGCAACGTCACTCACCTGAAAGACAATCCTGACAAAATTCACTTCACCTAGGAATTAAAGGGAGTAAATCTGTTAACTCATTCTGGTAAAGGAGACATAAGTTTGAAAATTTAACCAGACATAATTATTATCGTTTTTTTTATTTTGCATGTGAAATGAATTCTTTCTAAAACATAATCCCAGATTACCAGCGGTGAAAACTTTTTCCACCGAGAAAATACAGAGCGGCTATGTTATGCGTATTTTGAATTCTGTTAGGAATTGATTCTGGAGAAATATTTTTATTCGTGGGGGTAAATGTTCGTGGGAAAGCAAATTTTATTTGTTTATAAGGACGTGATTTAGTGGTAACACGTAGATACAACAGATTCAATGAATACATGTAAATAAGTTGCCAAATGTTTTTCTTGGCCAATGGGAATACGTAAATTCTTGGATAAGGATGAGAAAGACACTATACGCATGCTACGGCTTGATTTAAACTTGTTTTTAAATTTACATGCAGATAATCCTATTCTTGCTAATTTTAAATAGACAAGGTCTTTGTATGTTTTAAAGAAAATATCTAGCAACCGAGAGAAAATCAAAGGAAAATGTTAAAAAAAGCAAAATATATTTTTTTTAAAAGTTGATTTAGACAGATGCATGGACAAAATCCCTAGTCAGTTTTGCTATGTCTAATGTGAGATATTCTCTCTCTGTGTCTGATATGAGGAGGGACGCTCCATACTTCAGGTAAATTCATACTTTTCCGGAAGGTAAATTTTAAATAATATTTTAAATTAGTCTAATATAAGATTTAAATAATACGTCTAAGTGTAAACCAGAACATTTTGCGAACAAAAAAAAATTGCATTTTATGAAAATGAAAGGTACGAAAAACTGTTTAGTGGACTGTGGTACATGAAGCCAAAGGGCATCAAGTAATAACTTATCATTAATTAAAATAAATAAATGCATTTTTAATTATGTTAGAGATTTGCAATCCAGAGATCAGAAAATCATGTCAATTTTCGCAATGGTTCATTGCTTTTAAAATAGAAAACGGTAGATATATACCAAGCCAGGCAAATATGTAAAAGAAACTTTAAAGAGCGTTAAAAACAATGTTGAACTGTGAGCTTGCATGGTTTTGATTTACACATGAACGTAACTGCAGAATGGGTTACAGTATTAAGTTTTGTTATATGTTTTTTTTTATAAAATTGCACAATTTTGAGTAAGCGGTCTTATTTCTGAGGTTTACTTTTATATTTTGTAAAACAATTCTTATACAGATTTTAATACCAATATATGCATAGCATTTAGCAGGGCACACAGGTTTGTTTCGGTCGAGCAGGTGCTTGAATACTGTATCATGTGGAGGACCTAAACATTTCCCCTCAATCCAGTATACAAAAATTTCAACACGCCCTAGATTTTAATGAATCTGGTAAATTCAAGAAAATAACATCATTTTTAAGTAAATAAAGAAAACCAGTCCTAGTACAGTGAAGATATGCCGAAATCGGGATGGGAGATTCATGAATTGTTTTGCGTCAGCCAGGCTTTAAATCTCAACCGAGATACTGTAACATGTATGACAATTGCAGTACAACCAATTATGTAAAGGCACAGGCCTTTAGATCGCTTTAATCCGACTTACAAAAATCTGGGGTGTAAAAAAAATAAAGGTATGGAACTCATTTCATAGGGTACCTCCTTTCGCCAATAAAATACTTTTAAATCACATGGTCTAAAATTTTACTTTCTATTCATATCTATTTACATACAAACAACCTACATTACTACCAAAGTTCATTCCGAAATTCGGTTTACTCCCCGAGATATGCTGAAATCAATTCCAAAATTGACCTATATTTTTTACTCGACATTTTTACCCCAAAATTTTCGTAAGTCAGATTTAAGCGATCCAAAGGTCTGTGTGTAAAGGGTTCCCTCAGTTGTAAATTACAGACGCATCATTTTAATACTTATTTTGTACAGAAAATAACGTAGTTGTAGAATTTCTATTCACATATATTAACTGGTGAGTGGCATAATGATTAACGAAGGCAATACACTTTTGTCAACAGAACATGCGACACATATGTATTAATGGAATGCCATTTCACACCTTGTGCATCTTAAACTTGTCACGTGATTAAGGTATCAATTACTTGCTGGTATCCTGATTTGTCTTCTCTGTGATTCAGACAATGATTATGCAATACTTCTCTTGCTAATAATTTATATTAACAATGTATGCACCTTAAGATTTAGCATAAAGATTAAGATGAAGTGTACTTTAATACTAAAAGATACAAACTCGGGCTAATAACTATGCCAGTTGCAGCAGTTTAGTTCTTTTAATTGAAGATGATCACATATGTTCCATGTAGAATTAATTTTTTGAATTCCTAGGTTCACTTCATCCACTACACACAGGCATTTCATATCCTCTGTTAAACACAAACATGGCAAAATAAAGGTCAAGTATCCTAAATTAAAAAAAAAAAAGAAAACTCTTAAGAAGTAGGAATCTCACCTGTGGAACACTTGCTGCAGAATGCTAACAACTGCTTACGAAAATGAGAGAAGTAACTGTTGGTATACCAAAAAGATTTTTCCGATGAGATAAAATGACTCATTTAACTTCAGAAAAAGAAAACTCTGTATGTTTATACGGATTGCACATGATACTTTTACTTAATTGAAAAATCTGTGAAAAAAATAAAACTGTGATAGCACGCTGTTATTTACATGTATATGTCGACTAGACATTTAAGACATCACAGTCTGCCTTTTCTATATCAACCACTATAGTAGTAGGAAAATATAATTTTGTAAAGGGTATGCTTTTGCCTGAAATGCATTGTTAATTATTTTTTGCATTTTGAACTCCACGCAAAGTTTCCGCTGAATTTCATGCTAATTACTCAATTTAAATAAAGCATCAAAAAATCTATTTGCATTTAAATTCAGTTCAAAAGAAAACGTGCCCAGTAATTAAAAAAGGTTCATTTTATTTAGAAAGTCATCAATGTATTCGCATCCTGTTACACATGAAATGCCTCTCCCTCGAGTGTTGTTATCTTACTGTCAATTTTTGTTCATGCGATATAATAACTACTCTGAGCGTGAATTTTCCCATTTGTTTAGATTATGTCATTAACTGATATATTCATATTCTCTATAATTCATTAATTATTTATTTAAAGTTACAGCATTCTGTAAAAATGCACCTGAAGATGAATTGGGACAATTCATCTTCAAGCGCATTTTTACAGAATGCTGTTTGATCATAAAATTTTGTGATAAGTAAAAATTTTCCTTTAGGTTAATATTAAACTGAAATATATTAGAAAGGAGTATCATCATGAATAAAACAACGCGAAGCAATTTTTACCCATCAGAAAAAGACTTGCAAACAGGGCGGGTGTGAAAACAAGACCAGTTGTAATAATGGCAAGTTAACCGTAAATGTATTGCAGTATGATGATGCTGTCAACACCTAGTTAGATACCTAGATTACTCATTTGTTGGAGCTTGTGTTTTAGGAAAGCAGGGTTTAAAGATTGAGTGTTCCATTGCTTTTCTCCCTTCCTGATGTAATAAAAATGCATTTCTGTTTAATTTGCTGAGAATAAAGTCAGAATTTCTTATAACAAATATCATACTTTATTATTTTTCTCTGTTATTGCAAGCTATCTGCTTGGCTCAAATTAGATCACATGATCAAGCATAAAACATATTATAAAATGGGTGTTTTTATCTTAAGCTTCTAAAAAAGCTAATAAATCTGGTTTTTCTAAAATGAAAGAAAAAGTGAGCAAGCTCACATACCCCACGCTTCCCCAAAACTCGACAATGCAACACGTAATGAATGGCACAGTGCATTTTAAATACACAGTATAATTCAAAAAAGGGGCATTACTTGCAAAAAATCATCACATCAAAACTTCTTGCATATAAGGACATTCAAATCTTTGTATGTTACAAATTTAACTGGGCTGAAGTTTCTAGATAAATAATGGAATCAAAATTTCTTGGTAATATACAAATCTATACATTATTCTGAAATACCTACAAAGTTTCAGGAAATTCAGTGCCGGAATTATGCTGACAAACTGTTATTTAAATTCCTCAGTGATTTCGATTTGTTAATGAGTGTAAGTCCATGTCCAACACATGACAGTTTACACATTTAAATAATTGA